TATTATTAATGTGTTACTTTTGTTTCTTTTATATCTTTTTCATATTTTATATGTAAAGAACTATTTTTGTTAATATTTGTTAAAAAAATTGATTTAAACCAATTTTTTATAAATGTGTAATTATTTTTTTGTGTTTTTAAGTTATTTATTTGATTTTCATTAAAATTGACTATATTTTTGTATTTATTTGTTGTTATAGCAGTTTGATGCATAATATTTGCTTCTTTTAATGCTTCATTTAATTCATTATTCGATATAATTGTTTTTGTTGCTTGACATATTAACGGATTGTTTAGATCATCGGTTGTGTATATTGTTTCAGAATCGTTAAAAAAATCTTGTTGTTAATATTATCAAATAAATCATGTTCTTCATTTTTTGTTCTGTTATCTATTAGTAATTCACAATCGCTATCGTCTGAATAGTTGTCACTATCAGTATGTTTATCGTTTTGTGTTTTTGTTTTTTGTAATAAGCGGTCGATTCGTGCTTCTGAAGCTTTTGTTCTGGCAATATGACAATCTTGCATGTTATTGTATAGTTGTAATATAAAAGAGGACATTTGTGTTTTGAAATTTTCAAATTCTGAAAACCATGTTTGATTGAATTTGATTAAATCTTCTGTTTTTTTGAATGGCTTAAAAATAAGTAAAGTTGTTTGAGCATGTTTATTTTTTGCATCTTTAGATTCACATTTTTGAAAATCCGATATTCTGGTATTATGTGGTATTACTGAAAAATATATATATTTATGTTGTCCTATACATTTTTTTTCATATTCTGGGTACTCTTTTAAAAACAAACGTTCTTTTGATGAGGTTGTTGTTCGATGGTACGAAAATTTAGTATTGAGAATTCATGTAAAGAAAGGTTTGATAATTTTTTTGGTCTGTAAATATAATTATCTAGTGGACGATTTACGATGTACGTGTTTTGTTGTTTTTTAATCGTACAAATTATTTTTGTTTCTTTCAATAATTAGTTTAACATTTTTTTAAAAGGTAGTTTTTTAAATGAATCACTTTTATATGCACAACTATGTCGTAAAATATATAATGCACAAAGTGGTGCAACAATTTCTTGTTTGTTTGTTAATGTGTAAACTTGTGATGAAATCCGTCTTCTTGTTTTTGTTTCGTTTGTAAGTTGTTCGTTTTTTTTCTTGTTCGTTTTCTCATTGTATCTGAGCATCGAATGCAGCAAGAGCGAGAGTCGTATTGCTGTCAACTTGATGTTGATTTTTTGTTGTGCAACTAGTTATGTAAAAAAAGGTTTTCGGCATTTTCTTGTCCCCCTATTAAAATTTGTATATCATGATTTGCTTTAAATGTAGATAGTATAATATCGTTAAAGTCATTTATATATTCATGTCCGAATAGTCCACATATTTGTATTCCATCGTTTTTCATTACTGTTTTTTCTGTACGTGTACGAGGGTATAAATATCGATAATTTTTTGAGTTTTCAGTGGTACGCGACTTTTTGAAACATGAAGGAGTATGTGCCCAATGATGAGTTTGAGTCAAGAGAATTAATGTTATTTTATTATGTTTTTGGTTATTTTCATTAGTGCTTAGTTGTTGTAAACTGTTTGGCATATTCAATAGATATTGATAAAGTTCGTGTTTAAAAATTGAATCATTTATAAGGTGGATATAAGAAGCTTCTGCTGAATTTTTTTTTTGATATATTGTAGGAGTTTTATGTTTGCATGTTTGGAGCAACGTTGAACATGCTATGTATTGTGCACTTATTTCTTGATTACAATATTTACACTTTGCTATTGTTGGTTCTGTTGGACTGTAGTCTTTTTGATTTTTTTCGAAAAGGTGTTTTAAATGTAAATAATCGCATATCGATTGATTGAAAACTTTTTACATTATTACATTGAGGACAAGGTACAGTATTTACAGTAATTCATAAATTTGTTTTAACTATATTGTCTGTACAGTTAAGTATTTTAATTGATGCATTTTCATCTTTTATATATTTCTCATATTCTATAATTGTTGTTGGTGCATTTTTTACCCAAAGAAGACAATGTAAATGTAATGTACCACGTCCTTGAGTTTCAACCATTCCGTAGTAAGCATCGATATATCCAAATAGTCAAGGTTTTATGGTTGGTGGCTGTGTCGTATTATCATATCCTACGATGTGTTTAAAAAGTGTTGTTATCAATCTATCAAACAATCGTGTTGAAGCTACATTATCTTTCTATCCTGCTTTTTTTATTTCTGATAGGTATATATTGTTGTTTTTGTAAATTATTTTAAAAATTATTTATTTTTGTAAGTCCTGTATATGAGGCTATTATGAAAGTTGTTTCTGTGTTAGGAGTCAATGTTAGGAATATTGTAGGTTGACCAAATTTATCCCATGTTGCAAAAGCTTCTTGACGATGCATTCGTCGTTCTGCATTGCTGCCCCAAACATAAGATGAAGCATATTCAACATGATGTAATAATTTTTGTGCAGCGTCATTTATTACGAGGGGGTCATGACCGCATAATCTTCGTTGTTTGTTTTCTAAAGCTATTTCTAAATCTTTTCGATATATATTTGCTATAGGTTGTTGTATTTGTGGGTTGGTTGTGCATGTGATGTGAGACATGGTATAACCACGTTGAATAACTTTTTTATCGAACATAACTAAAGTGAAGTATGAATCTTCTGCAAATTTTTGATGACTTAAGACACAATAATGTTTTATACATTCAGATTTTAAAACTGGAATACGTCTATCAGATTCTCCTATATGTCCACAGCTGTATGGAAAAAGGTGAGGGAACATTTTAGCTTCAATATCGATATCGAATGTGTTACTGAATTTAGTCGATGATTGAATAACATAAGTTTGAGATTCAATATTCGTTTTCTCTTTATTATCCATAATTTATTTTGTTGTCATATTCATTGTTGAGGTCATTGATTTTGTAAACAATTGTGTTTTTTCTATATAAATTTCTTCGTCTGTTGAATTTATTGTTTTTGCAATAGAATGTTCTTGGTTGTCCATTTTATCTGCTAAATTTGTTTTATTTTCTGTAAGATTGTAAACTGTTGTCGATATGAATTCTCTGTTGTTTTTTTATTAAGCATTGATTTTATTCTCGTCTATTGGTATATGTTTATAATATTTATTGTTTAATTTATAAAATTCTAATAGTTGGCGAACAACTTAATGACGAATTGAATGTTTTTTTTTAATTTGTGTAAGTTGTGGTTCAGTGAATGGACCTCTTAAAATGATTCTATAAAAATTATCAGTATTAATTTATCTGGGTAGTAATGTTGCTAGTGGTCCTGGAATTGCATCAAATAGAAGTAAGTGAGATCGAATAGCTCGGTGTAAATGACCTCGTAAGACTTTTGTTTGTGCTATAATAGTAACTATATTTGTCATAACTAATTCTGACCATGTAGGTTGTGGTATAGATTTAGGTAATTCCGCTATAAAAAAATAATTAGCAATTGCAAATTTTCGCAAACTACCTTTACCTTTTTTACTATCGAGTAATGATTTTTCACATTTGTCAAAAATACAAAATTCAATTTCGTTTTCTTTTTCATTTGTTTTAAATTATTTTTTTGAAAGTAATAAGTCTATAAATTGTTTACTAAATTCAGTACAGTCGTGATATTCTTTTATATCTTTATGAAGATTTTCATCTGGATTTTTAAAAAATTCAATCATTTTGTCTATTGTTTTTTGGTCTTTAGTTGTGTGTTTATATATTTTATTCTTAAGTTGAAGTTCATCATCAACACAACAAACAGATTCTTGTAAACCTTCGAAACTCATTTTTTTTTGTAATATATCTAATATTTCTTTTTTGATTTTTTCATAATCGATATTTTCAAATGCTTCATAATTTTTATAATTTTGTAAATTTTGTATTTTTGCGATTGTCTTTAATTTTGTATGTTTTATTTTTGACGAATTATTTTTATTATTTAATATCTTATTATTTTTTGTTCTTTGATTGCCTTGCATTCTTGCAAGTTCTTTTAAGCGAATTCGTTTTTTATGACAAGTGTTTTCTTTTGTTTCAAATTTTGGTTTTTCAGTTATTGATGTCAAATTGAGTAATAATTTAGATTATGTATTTTTTTTTAATTTCAATTGATAGTTCTTGTTTAATTTTTTTTTTTTCGTGCCTCTTTGTGCTGCTTTACGTCTTTTTCCATTCGATTACGACGTTGATTCTCCGTTTCGTTTTGCCAACAAATCATTTCTCAATCTCGCTTTCGTTGTAATCGTTGCTCTTCATTCTTCATATTTGCATCAATTTTCTGCTCCATTGGAAGCCGTTGTTTCACAACAAACAATTATTTAAAAACTTTATCAAAAACAAGGTCAAAGTTTTTTCTGTGTTTTCAAAAGAAACGAAAATAAAAAAAATAAAAATTAAAAAAATTGAAGAAAGATAAAGATAAATAGATAGGCAGATAGAATAGAAAAAATAATAATTTTAAAAGTTGGAGATAGATATATATATATATAAAGAGAGAGAGAGAGAGAGAGAGAGAGAAAAAAAAAGAGGATAAAAAAAAAATTCGTAATAATTGATAAACTTACATACAAATGTTGTAATTATCAAGCGCTAAACAGTTTGAAAATGTTGCAGTTGTAAAAGAAAAAAAAAGAATGCAAAATAAAATTGATGAAGTAAAATATTTATAATTTCATAATCTTTGATATTGTTCTTATATACTAATTATAAGAATTAATATTTAAAATCATGTTTTAATTTTTTATTTTTTCATTATTACTACAACTAGAGAAGAGTCTAAAAAATTTTGTATTAATGGATTATATGTTCTTTTGTTTTTCTTATTTCATCTAAGAAATGGATTGTAATTCCATTTGTCTATACAAAAATTGACTGAGAAAGTTTTCCAATCATTTATTTGTGTCACCGTATCATGTAGCTTCGTATTTGATTTGTGATAGGAAGATGATTGTTGCATATCGTTCTTCCAATCATTTATTTGCGTCGTCGTATTGTTGTTTATTGATGTCGACTCTTGACTTGTAGCCATTTCGTCAAAAGTTTAAAACTTTTATTTGTGATAATGAAATACCAATAATCTGCAACACATGAAAACAAAACACAAATTGTTTGACATTAATTTGTTAGTCAACATGTATTGTCTAAACATATCACATATGTCATTTTTTATAACATTTTTAAGGTCATTTTCATAGGTGATGACATTTGTATTTTGGGAATGATATTTTTATAAATAAAATTAACTTTTACTTTGACTTATAATCGATTGTACTTAAGCCTTTGATTATAGCCTAGTAGTTACCTTTAGAAAAATTGTCATTTCGTATAGCTTCTTCAAAATTGTGATTCATAAGGCTTTCAATTTATGTCTTTTTTTTTCGGCTTATGATTGATTATGGCCTTCACTTAGGGCCATATTCATTGCTTGAATTGATATTTGTACTTAGGCCTTCGCTTAGGGCCATTGTCTAGAATTAGATTTGTACTTAGGCCTTCACTTAGGGTTATTTGTAGTTAAGCGTTAAAGTCATCATTCATGTGGCCTTCACTTAGAGTCATATTAATTGTTTGAAATGATTTAGGCCTTCGCTTAGGGTCATTGTTTAGAATGATATTTGTACTTAAGCCTTCACTTAGGGTCATTTGTAGTTAAGCGTTAAAGTCATCACTCATATGACCTTCACTTAGGGCCATTTTAAACCATGTGTCATTTTTGCATATGACAACAATGTTTCATATCATAGTTTCAAACGGGTTTGTACATAACAAGTATTTGAACTTAGGCCTTCACTTAGGGCTATTTTAAATCATGTGTCATGTTTCATATCAGAGTAATATTTCATACTTAGGCCTTCACTTAGGGCCATTTGTAGTTAGGTCTTTCCTTAGGGCCATTTCTGTCTCTCTCTGTCTCTCTTTCTCCCTTTCTCTCTCTCTCTCATGTCAAGAGTAGTGCAGCAAGGTCCTTTCTGTCTCTTGTACCATAGTCGGGACTATAGTCTGGACCATAGCCGGGACCAAGATTCGAATTGTTCCGATAGCTTGGACCACTGAACGGTTCCATAGCTTAGATAATAGCTTGGACCAAAAGAATGGGACCATTCTCCTATCCTGGACCAAGTATTTGAACCATTGCCTTTCTCTGGACCATAGCTGGGACCGTAAGTTCCACAGTTCCATAGCTTGGACTATAGCTTGGACCACAAGTTCTACAATTTTGTAGCTTGGTCCAGAGCTTGGTCCAGAACTTGGTCCATAGCTTCGAACATTGTTGGGACCACAGCTTGGTCGCTTACTTCTAGTAAGCTTCACACTGATCACTCCTAGGCAACAGCATGACTGTGCGGAACAGACTGTTTTGTCGGACTTTCAGATTCGAGAGAGAGAGAGAGAGAGAGAGAGAGAGAGAGAGAGAGAGAGAGAGAGAGAGGACTCACGCCTCACGCCTTGGCGTGAGTTCTCTCTCTCTCTCTCTCTCTCTCTCTCTCTCTCTCTCTCTGTCTCTCTCTCTCTGTGTCTCTCTCTCTCTCTACTACGGTGTGGTTTGTGGCTATTGCCGAGGCTGCAGGGGGAGTGCTATTTGCCGGCTGAGCAGGTGGTAATGCTATTTGGAGAGGAGCAGGGGGAGAGTTCTGCATCTCCTTGTCCGCAACTGGTTTCAGAATTGCGTCCTTTTTCAGTTGTTTTACTCAGGAGTGCGTGTTTGAAATGATGATGATGATGTTGTCTCACTAGACGGGATTACATTTTTTTATGTTTTTAAACGAGGTAACCATTAGCAATGACCGCATTCTGCGGTACTTTCTCCGCCTGTTCTACCGACGACACGATCAGTCTACTCGAATAACTCTCCTTCTCTCTTCTCCCTCTCCCCTCTCGTCCACTCCCCTCTCTCTCTCTCTCTCTCTCCCCTCGTCCCGTCCCCTCTCTCTCTCTCTACGCTGTGCGCAGCCGCATCTCCTCTCCTGTCTATTGCGCACTAAAGGTCCCTGGAAAAAAAATAAAGTAAAATAAAATAAATCTAAAAAATCTGGAAAGAAGTATGTTATGCAGAAAAGTAAACTGAGCAGCTTTTGCCACAGAGTTATATCGAAAGTCCTTACCACATTTAAAAAAAAAATCATTTTCGTTGCAGTTATAATGCTCCGAAGGTTGGCCGTACTCACACTACGACTTCGTCGACTGAGCTCTGGATGTGATTGCGGTCATATACATGCAAATTGGGCCGTAAGTGCAGTCAGATACATTTAGGTAGGTGCTACCGTCTTTACCTGAATAGAACGCCCAGTCACTATAGCTGTATCAGGGGAAAGTTTGAGTCGTAATGCAGCAATAATGACCAGGCGTTCTATTCGGGTGAAGGAGGTAGCACGTTCCTATGAGAGAGAGAGAGAGAGAGAGAGAGAGAGAGAGGGAACCCAACGTAATTAGCAACGGGCCTCCTCCCCCCTCCCCCCGACCCTATCAAGTGTAGTAACTGCGTCGATCAGTTTCATATCCGATCTTAGGGGGGAGGGGGGGAGGGGGGGAAGGAGGGAGAGGGGGAGGGGGCCAGAAATGTCAGGATTAACCCACCTCTCCGCAATCAGCAGCAAGAGCTGTGGGATCGGGTCTATGTTATTGTGATCAATGGCAAGAGTTGCGGGAACGGGTCCTTGGGAATACTCAGACACGGCTCTCTCTCTCTCTCGCTCTCTCTCTCTCCCTCTCTCGCTCTCTCTCTCTCCCCGCAATCAGCACCAAGAGCCGCGGCAGCGGGACTCTCTCGCTCTCTCTCTCTCCCTCTCTTTCCCTCTCTCTCTCTCTCTCTCCCCGCAATCAGCAGCAAGAGCAGCGAAATCGTGTGTGTGTGTGTGTGTGTGTGTGTGTGTATATGTGAAATCAACAGCAAGAGCAGCGGAAAAGGGTCCCTGACCGCGTTCCGCTGTACTTTCTCCGCCCGTTCTACCGAGGAGACAATCAATCTACTCGAATAACTCTCCTTCTCTCCTCTCCCTCTCCCCTCTCGTCCACTCCCCTCTCTCTCTCTCTCTCTCCCCTCGTCCCGTCCCCTCTGTCTCTCTCTCTAAGCTGTAGCGACCGCATCTCACGAAGGACATATATTCTTTATCGATTAAGGGGCCATGCTAATCTTCTCTGTATCGTTCCAATGTCCGGAATGACTTTGTGAGATTTTTTTTTTTTTTTTTTTTTTTTTTTTTTTTTTTTTTTTTTTTTTTTTTTTTTTTTTTTAATTTGGACCATTTCTCGATTTATGCGTGTCATCATGTGCACCCGAATTCATGGGTTGATACGATCTCCTTCAAGTAAGTCTTCATAGTTATGTACTGTGGCAATAAAATGTGTCCACGAACACATTCACGATGATGAACAAGTAGCGGGTATTGGGATACATTCCTTGCGATGTAACTCATGATGCCTTTAGCAGGCCAAATGACAGACGCAAAAGCGTTCCTGTCAGACGCACCACAATATTCGAATTTCACATTTCAAGTTCTATTTCTCAGAACCAAAAAAAAAAAAAACGAAGTCTTTCCCCGCACCTTTTTCTCTTTTTCTTTGTTTTTCTTCTCCCAATCAATCAATCAATCAATCAGAGCTGATTGTTTGATAATTTATTTGTTAAAACACACACACAAAAAAGAGGGGGTTAGAGATGGCCTTCTTGCTAGCTAACAGAGATCCGACCATCGATGGTAGAAACGAAGAAAGAATATAACTACAATATATAAGTATATTATATAATATTTGTGTATGTGTGAGAGCGAGTCATGGGGGATTCAGCGCGCCTACAGCACGCACCGAAGGACAACTCTCTCTCTCTCTCTCTCTCTCTCTCTCTCTCTCTCTCTCTCTCTCTCTCTCTCTCTCTGTGTATGTGTGTTTGTCTCAGTTTTGTGCGTGAGTGAATGGGCGTGTGTGTGGTGTCCTGAAAAGAACGTAGGGTCATTATAGCTGTATTTGGGGCAATTTATTCCAGATACAGCGATAATCACCGGGAGTCGTTCGTTTGTAGTTGCGGCGAAGTGCATGAGTCTGGCACTCAGGTGGACAAACTCGCGCTTGAACTCCTTTCGTGTCTTCGTACTCTTGTTTGTCGTTTCCTGTTCCTATTTTTTTGCCCACGTTCGCTTCGTGAGGTAATGTGCCAAGGTGCTGATCAGACATCTCTGATTTGGACAGGAATGTACACAAGGACGATGGCGAGTGCTGATCATGCACCTTTGATCAAACACTTTGGGCGTGCGCCACACAGATAGATACACAAACGAGGGGGCATGTATGTGTGCGGGGGCGCGCGGAGAGAGAGAGAGAGAGAGAGAGAAAGACACACACACACACACACACACACACACAGAGAGAGAGAGAGAGAGAGAGAGAGAGAGAGAGAGAGAGAGAGAGAGAGAGAGAGAGAGA